AACAACAAACAAGGCTTACAAATGGCTCACTGTGCTAGCTTAGAGGCAGGTCTAAGAGTTTAGCTCTTCTATGGTGTGTGTTATAAAAAACAGTATGATGACCTTTGTGGTCTTTGATCCCAGGAATACTTTTTTTTTTTAAGTAAAGAAATTTTTTTAGGAATTGAAACTTGCTTTTTAATAAATAGTCTCTGCTTTTGACTGATTTCCTCTGGAATAAATTCCTAAGTTGACAAACTGTCTCAGTGATTGAACTGTCACATGCTTGTTATTTTATCTTATTTTAGCCTTATTGATACTGGTTTACTGATTGCTTTTTGCAGTAAGATTTCTTAGTATAGAGATAGTATCACTGTAATTCAGATTGCCCTTGATTACATGATGCTTCTGCTGAGTGCTGAGATTATAGGTCTGTGCCACTGTGGCAGGCACAGTTAGATTTATTTTTATTTATATGTATGTGTGTATCTCTGGGTGGGTGGGTGCCAGTGTCCTTGGGCCAGAAGAGGGCATCGGGTCCCCTGGAGCTGCCAGCATTGTGAGCCATGTGCTGTGAGTGCCAGGAACTACATTCAGGTCCTCTGGAAGAGCAGCAAGCACTGTTAACCACTGAGCCATCGTCTCTGTGGCATCTAAGATTTCTTTTTGATCGTGTGTATATGTGTGTAAAGGTGGTATGTGCACGTGTGAATACAGGTGCCAAAGAGTCTAGAAGGTGTCAGATCCCAGAGCTGGAATTACAGGTTGTTATGAACTGTCTGGCAGGGGTGCTGGGGACTGGGGACTCAGCTCAAGTCCTCTGCAAGTGCAGTGTGTGCTCGTGATCACAGGATAGCGTCTTCTGCCTCCCTCCCTATTTTGAGACAGGCTCTCACTATGTAGCCCTGGCTGGCCTGGTACTCTGTATGTAGACCAGGTTGGCCTTAAACTTAAAGGAGTCCTCCTCAGTGCTGGGACTAAAGGCAGGTACCACCATGCCCAGACATTCAGCAAAGATTACTTTCAATTGATATTTTAATCTGTCTCAAAGCAAATGGGCAGAAGTCTTTCTTTAATGAGACTTCTCTACCTAAACTTGATTTTAGTACATATCTAATTTCTATTTTTCATGCCTGTTTCAGAAATAGTTTTCTAAGCAGGCACTGCCGTTGATGCTTTTGGATAAGGATAAATACTAGGATCCTGAGGCTATCCTAATGATTGGTGTCTTTCTTGTTGGGCCGCTTTTCTGAGTAATGAAACGATTCTCCAAACACGTACAAGATGAGGCAGATGGGTGGTGGCACTTGCAGCTTTGCTGCCAGGCCTCTGCTGTGGGGATGTTGCCTTCCTGCCTCAAGTGCGTCCTGCAGAGTTCCTCCAGTGCTCCGTTGTCTTTTGCCTGATTCCAGGCTGAGGTAGTAGTTTGTACAGTTTGAGGGTCTATGATACCACCCGGTACAGGAGATAACTGTACAGGCCACTGCCTTGCCAGGAACAGCGCACCAGCTACCAAGTGGGGTGGAGAAGATGGCGAAGCCCTGCTCATCTCTGGGAGTCCAGGTAATGGGGAAGGGATCTCTCTTTAGGGCAGGTGAGTAGTTCCTAGCACTAGAATAACCAGAAATGCTTTATGGTTGTCCTTTGAGAGACTTGGAGTTGTTCAAATAAACCATGTAGAATTCTGTTACAGATTGTATGGAAAGGATTCCTTTTTTTCCCTCTGAGGGTAAATGTCCTTTCATTAGAAAGTATCCCTGCAAGGCAAGTATGTTGCTCACACCAGTAATCTCAGCATTTGGGAGGCTGAGGCTGGAGAATTGCTGCTAGTTTTGAGCTAGCCTGGGCTATATAATGGGTTCCAAGCTAGCATTGACTATGGAGTGAGACCCTAACCAAAAAAGGAAAACCCTTTGTAAGCCACTTGATACTTTGGACTTCTTTATTTTTGTTTGTTTGTTTGTTTGTTTTATCTTTGTTTTGTTTTTCGAGACAGGGTTTCTCTATGTAACAATCCTGGCTGGCCTGGAACTCACTTTGTAGACCAGGCTGGCCTGGAACTCACAGGGATCTGCTTGCCTCTGCCTCCCAAGTGCTGGGCTTAAAGGTGTGTGCCACCACACCTGGCTTAGACATCTTATCTTCTGTTTGCGTTTATAATGTGTTTTGTCCCTCCTGTATTTTGGTGCCATGTTTCCTGTTTTCTGTTTCTCTTCCTATTTTTTATTTTGTTTGTTTTCAGTGATGTTTTGGTTTGGTTTTTGAGACAGAGTTTCACTAAATGTACCCTATGGTGGTCTCCAGTGTGTTGAGATTATAGGTTATAGTCACCATGTCCAGCTTTTCTTCATCTTTTTAGGAGCGTAATAATTTCCTACTTTCTAGTTCTAGTAAGGGCCTCACCCATGCTAGGTAAGCACTATGCCCTAAGCCACATACCCAGACTCACTTCATTCTGCTGTCAACATAATCTTTTTATCGTTTTTCTTTTCTTTTTATTTTATGTGTATGAGTGGTTTGCTTGCATGTGTGTCTATGTATCATGTGTCTGGTGCCCAGGGAGGTTAGAAGAGGATGTCAGATCCCCTGGAATTGGAATTACAGACAGTTGTGATCCACTATGTGGGCTCTGGGAATGGAAGCCAAGTGCTCTAAACCACTGAGCCATCTCTCTAGCCCTTATTGTTTACTTTTCTAGATAGAATTCTTTCTTTCACCTCCCTCTCTCTGTCTTTTTCTTTGACAGAGCTGGCTGTGTAGTAGCACTGACTATTCTCAGAATCCCTATATAGCCCTCTAGTTTTCGGTCCTGATACTTAGTGTAAGATTTGTCATTTTGCAGACACTAAACTTAGTGTCTATAGCCAGTGATTTTTTTTTTCCCTTGCCAGGAAATACTTATGTAGGACAAGTTGAATTTTAAATTATGAAGAATCCAAAGATTGGTAGCAAAACAGTGTTTTTTGTTTTTTGGGTTTTTTTTTTAATTTATTTATTTATTATGTATACAGTGCACATATCCCTGCAGGCCAGAAGAGGGCACCAGGTCTCATTACAGATGGTTGTGAGCCACCATGTGGTTGCTGGGAATTGAACTCAGGACCTTTGGAAGAGCAAGCAGTGCTCTTAACCTCTGAGCCATCTCTCCAGCCCCCTTATTTTTGTTTTTTAAATGTAGTTTAATGCTGCAGATTGAACTCGGAGATTCTCATACACTAGGCAAGCACATCACCATTGAATTGTCCGTCTGGGCCCCAACACAGTGATATTAAGTGTTGGTAGAAGTGCTATCAAATGAAAACTTGGCTTTTGAGTTGTATGAATCTGTATGTGTACTCTTAAGTTGTTGAGAGAAGTTGTTTGCCTTTGTCTGTCTGTAATTTGCTTGGGTGATAGAATACAGTGGGTTCTTAGGCCTTGTCTTTTCAGAAATGAAAATGCAGCGTAAGCCCCATTTAAATGGTGAGTGTCACCCCTCGTTTGCTTTCTTACAGACACTATCCGTTACTTGTCGTTGCATGACAACAAATACATCAGATATTTCCCTGGACACAGCAAAAGGTAAGACTCGAGTGTTACAGGGTTAGTTCCTTTATCTCAAGAGAGGGAGAGGTCTCGTTAGTAAGTCCAGCCTTCCTTAGTGCTGTCCAGCATGTCTCTTCATCTTGTTGACTGATCTCAATCAACTCTTGGTTTACTGAGGTAATGGAAGCAGAAGATGGGGTTTCAGAAATAACTACATAGTCTCTGTTAAAATTTAAATAAGGAGTCAGACGATGTTGGCGCACGCCTTTAATCCCAATACTCGGGAGGCAGAGGCAGGGGGATCTCTTGAGTTTGAGGATTGACTGATCTATACAGAAAAACCCTGCCTTGAAAAAACAAAGGGGGACATTTTGTAAGTAGGAGCGTGGAGTATACTTTAGTGGCTGAGCACATGCTTAGCATGTGAGTGACTCTCGATTCAAGTCTGCATACCAAAGTAAATAAATATAATTAATGAGGGGTTAGACGTGGCTCAGTGCCATACAAGAATCTGTGTGTGTGTGTGTGTGTGTGTGTGTGTGTGTGTGTGTGTGTGTGTGTGTGTGTAAGAAATGTGAACTAAAGTTATTGGGTGATAACCTATGCTTTAAAATTAGACTTGGTATTTAGCAAAGCCAAATCTCAGTTAGCTCTTAACAAAAGAACTGTTTGCATTTATGAGGCCTTCCACTACAAAGGCCAACATTTGAATTAGTCTCTACATGAAAAATGTTCCTTATGATGTAAAAGGGTTTTTTGTTGCTGTTGTTGTTTGTTTTTAAGATATATTTATGTATTTTATGTATATGGGTGTTGTGTCTACATATATGTCTGCACACCAGAAGAGGGTATCAGATCCCATGGGACTACAGTTATAGGTGGTTATGCACTGCTATGTGGGTGCTGGGAATTGGACCCAGGACCTCTGGAAGTGCATCCTGTTCTTAACCACTGAGCCATCTCTCCATGGCACCATTTGTAGATGGACTTTTATTTTTGTCCTACCTGCCAGCTCCCAAATAGCTACACAGAGACATTATTTATTATAAAAGTTCAGCCAGTCGCTTAGGCGTGTATAGTAGCTCTTAGCAACTTAAATTAACCCATTTTTATTGATCTACTTTTTGTCTTGTGGCTTTATTCCCTTTACTCTACTACCCATGCTGCTTCCTCTCTGGCTGGCTGGTGACTGTGCCTTTCTTCTTCCCAGCGTTCTCCCTGCCCCCAAAGTCCTGCCTAGCTATTGACTGTTTAGCTTTTTATTAAACCAACCCAAGTGACACTTCTTCACAGTGTACAAAGAGACTTTCCCACAACATTCCAGCCCCCCCCCCTTTTTTTTTTGGAGAAAAGGTCTTACTATGTGACCTTGGCTGTCCTAGAGCTCATTGTCTAGACCAGGTTGGCCTCAAATTCCTAGGGATCTGCCTGCCTCTGCCTCCCAAGTGCTGGGACCAAAGGCATGTATATTAATATAGATGATACAGAGTGGTAGTACAGTGCCCTGACTATTGTTATGTCACTTGCTGAGAGGTGTCAGAAGATATCTGTCTATTCACCCCAGAAAGCCAAAGAAATAATTCCACCCAAATCTTAACTTTGTGAAGCAATAAGTTTAATTCTGGTCCTCTCTAGGGGCATGGGCAACTTAAATGGCAGCTATAGCCATCTCCCTCCTCTCCCAAAAATGGTTAACTCCTTATCTGTCCTTGGAAGGGGTCAGGGTCTTTTGAGAGCTCCACAATAGCAGGCATGCTGCCCTGATTTCAGGAGAGCTATGTCATGCCGAGAGCTGCTTGTCAGGAGGGATACTTGTGCTGGACTCGAAGTTGCACACCTTTAATCTCAGCGCTCAGGAGGCAGGAGCAGGCAAAGCTCTGTGCGCTCCAGGCCAGCCTGGTTGTGTACATAGCAAGCTCCAAGACAACCAGGACTACATAGAGAGACCTATCTCAAAAAGTGTACTTCTGGATGGACATGGTGTGGTATGTACTTGTAATTCTAGTGCCCTGGAGGCTGAGCTAGGAGGATTGTTACAAATTGGAAGCCAGCTTTAGATACATAGTAAATTAAAGGTCATCCTGGGATACATATCGTATTAATACCCTGTCTCAAACTCCTCTCTCAAAAAAAATAATAGTTCAGTAAAGTTTTACTTACAGGCAGGCAGGGTATTTCTGTGCTGCTGAAGACAGGAAGTGTTGGTTACTGTGTAAGCCAAACATGGGCCAGCTTATTCACTTTTGCTCTAGTGTCTTGGCACCTTGTGAACTGGCAGGTAAGTTTCCCTAGGGCCAAGGGTTTGGTTCTTATGTTCCCTGTACTTATCAGCACAGAGCCTTTTGTATCCACTTGGACCTGTGAACTTTTGAGCTAGACAGTGTGACAAAATTGCATGTCAATATGCATTATGCTTTCTCTGTTTTACTATGGCAGCCTGGGCTATATGAAACCCTATCTCAAAATAAGAAATACAATTTAGTGATTGTAGGTATGAATGTATATATGTAGTTGGGCAATCACTGCTAGTATAATTCCAGAATATTTTCATTTCCCTAAGAGAAACTCTGTACCCATTAGCAGCCATTCATCTAAGTGATGTCTCTAGATTTGCCTATAGTGGACATTTTGTATAAATGGTATCAGATAACATATGACCTTTTGTGTGTGTCTTCTTTCATGTAGCATGATGTTTCCAAAGTTTATCCCTGTTGTCATATGAATTAGCACTTAGTTTCTTTTTGTTTTCAAATAATATTGTGTCATGTTATATGTCTAGTCCACATCTTGTTGATTTGTTAATTAGTGAGCATTTGGGTCATTCCCATTCATAATGCTACTGTAAAAGCCTGAACATTTTGGTGTAGACATTTCCAGTTTGCTAAAGTATATATACCTAGGAGTGGAATTTCTGAGTCACATAACTTGCCAGAAAAAGTATGGTTTGGTTGGTTGGTTGGTTGGTTGATTTTGGCTTTTTTTGTGGTGGGGTCAGAGGCTTGGAATTCACTATATAGACTAGACTGGCATTGAACTCAGGTCCACCTGCCTCTCTCTACCCTCCAAGCACCACCACACCTGGCCTGAAAGGTCTTTTGTAGGGCATCTGTATCACGTATTTCATCAGTGGTCTCTACAGTTGTTCTAATTCTCCACCATGCTCCTCTTCTCCAGTACTGAGCAATCCTTTTATGGCAGCCGTCAGTGGTGTGAACTAATACCTCACTGTGCTTTTGATTTCCAGTAGAATCACTTATTTTGTTTTTAACACTAGCACTGAGCTGTAGAGCTCCAGCCTGAGACCATGCATTTTTTTATACAGAGGCTTTAGGTTGATTTTTTTTTTTTTAATTAGCTACTTTTGATTGCTTCAGATAAGTTTGTGTATGCTTCCTAAGATGGTAGTCTTGGGAAAACAGGTATATGTAGGCAGGCAGAGTGGTTTAGGGTTCACATCCAATTTTTGCTCATATTTTGCTTCAACTCCTATTTATCTTGATACATTGCAGGGTGGTGGCCTTGTCCATGTCACCTGTGGATGACACTTTCATTTCTGGGTCTCTTGATAAGACCATTCGACTCTGGGATCTCCGGTCTCCTAACTGCCAGGTAATGGTACCTCACAGTTATATTTTTGAGCATTTTCTGTGGAAAGCATTATCAGCTCTCCCTCTCAGTTAAGGGAGACAACACTGGTTCCATTTTGGGATCCCAGAGTCTTATGTGGCAGCAAAACCTTTTACCAGTTGGCTACTGCTTGGTAAGCAGATCTACTCCATAGCAGATTGCATTGCAATGTGGCTTGGTGCTTGAAAAACTGCCTAGAACCTTTAGCCTCAAGGGGTTTGTTTCTCTTTGAACTCTGTAATGTCGTACAGTTAAGGCTGATTGGAAATGCATCACATAGTGACTTTTTACATTTTAGTCAGTTGTGTGTGTTTACTTTTAATGTTTTGTAGGTAGGCTGGATGCAGTTCCTATTCCTTCCTTGTTTGCACTGGAACAAGTCAGTGATTGAGTGGTGGGCTCCTTCATTCACTAACTCTTTGTTGTCCTCTTTTTTCTTAGGGCCTCATGCATCTACAGGGCAAACCAGTTTGCTCCTTTGATCCAGAAGGGTTAATTTTTGCCGCAGGTGTCAACTCAGAAATGGTCAAACTTTATGACCTTCGTTCTTTTGATAAGGTAAATCTTTGAATCCTTGAGCTATATTAAGGTTGCAGAAATTTTAAGGGCAAGTTGGACGTTTAAGAACCCTTTCTAGGTCAGGCATGGTGGCACACATCTTCAATTCCAACACTACACTCCAAAGCAGATGCAGGTGGATCTCTGTGAGGCCAGCCTGGTCTACATAGTGAGACCCTGTATAAAAAGACAGCCTTTCTGTGATGAGGAGCAAGTAGTGGGTAACAGAGTAGCAGAGCGAGCAGTGCTGTATCCTTTTCTTGCCCACTTAGAAAGACTCTAAATGGATAGAAAAAAAAGTTCTAATAGAGGAAGTATTGATATGTGTGGAGCCTGGGGACTGCTATTTTTGTGTTTTGCAGGGACCGTTTGCAACCTTTAAGATGCAGTATGATCGGACTTGTGAGTGGACAGGACTTAAGTTCAGCAATGATGGCAAACTCATACTCATTTCCACCAACGGCAGCTTCATCCGTCTTATTGATGCTTTCAAGGGTGTGGTGATGCACACATTTGGGGTGAGCTGGCAGCTTTGAAGAATGGCTGTTTTCTTGCTCATAAGACCTGGGTTGGGAATGCTGTTAGCTGGATTGTGGAGATCAGCAGTTATCCTTGACTCAGTGATGGGGCATGGACCTATGTTTTCTTCCTGCATATGAACTTTACCTCCTTTGTATTGCAGTCATTCACCTCTTACAAAATGACATAAGTTTGCTTTTCATTTGGTCTTGGTAACACTGCACATTCAAAAACCTTTGGCGGAAAGGGGCTTGTGTGTTGGGATGGTATTTCTTGATTGTTTCTATTACTGGCCCTATAATGAGAACCATTCTTTGTTTCAGGGTTATGCTAACAGCAAAGCTGTTACACTCGAAGCTTCATTTACTCCAGATTCACAGTTTATTATGATTGGTGAGCTGCTTTCATGTTCCTTGTTATTTCTCTGGTACTGTGCATTTGTTTGTTACCAAGCAAAGTAACTAAAATGCTGTTCAATAGATGTTTTCAGATTTCTGTATAGCACCTTCAGACTTTGTAGTTCCCTTTACTGTGTACATAAGCATACATGCAGTGCCATGAGTATGGAGGTCAGAGAACATCTTTGGGGAGTCAGTTTTCTCTTTCCATCATTTGAGTTCCATTGCTCAGACTCATGTAGGCAGACTTCCTGGCAGGCCTCCTTTACCTTCTGAGCCACCTCTCTGGCTTTGCTTGCTAATTTTTCTTGTTTTTCGATAGTCTTGTTTATTATATAAAACTCTTCTGACCATGAAGTTGCTATGTAGTCAGGGATTACCTTGGATTTGTGATTCCCCCAAGTGCTAGGATTGCAGAAGTATGCCATCACACTGGCAGGGTTCTTTATTGGAACTGGCAATATGCTGGGTTTCCCTTCATGAGCTTTAGAATTAAGCTCTTAAAAAAGCATTACTGTATTGTATTGATAACTTGGTGTTATCAATACAGTGGTGACCTTTAGTAGTCTCTGTATCCAGATGTTGGCAAGCTACTGATACTAGCTCCCTTTCTGGATGGGAAATGTAAAGGTATGAGGGGGGATGACTTAGGAACAGTGAAGCGCTTCTGCACATCCATTCTAATTGCCAGCACTTGGGTGCTGTTACTGGAAGGCAGAACTGTGAAAGTAGAAGTTTGAGGCTGATTTGGGCTACAAAGAGAATTTGGATTAATCTGGGTTATATAACAAAAATAAGTCCCTCGAGAGAAGGGAACAAATAATTAGGTCAAGATCAATTCCCAGTGCCCTTCCTCCATTGTGTTCTTAGTTTCTGCTGAGTGATGTGTCCTGAAACTTTTTCTAGATTTCAATCTATCTTTTTCTCACCTGTCTTTATTTGCCTCTTGAAGTGTTATTGTCTCGATCATTGTGTGTAGGTTCAGAAGATGGCAAGATCCACGTCTGGAATGGAGAGAGTGGTATAAAAGTAGCTGTATTGGATGGTAAACACACGGGTCCCATTACCTGTTTGCAGTTCAACCCCAAGTTCATGACCTTTGCCAGCGCCTGTTCTAACATGGTATGTGAAAGAGTGAGAGGTATTTTCCATTAGGATCCTCTTGATTTGGGGTGGTGGGTGCCTCGGACAGCAAAGTGTGTTTTATCCACATAGTACAAGTTCATGTTTCAGAAGTGGTGGCTTCCCTGTTACATCCCCACATCATGAGATACCTGACCAGGCTGCATTTCTTACTTTTATTCCTCTTCCAGTAAGATGGGATCATCCATGCTTTCTGAAGAGGTTCGCAGAGCAGTTTTTGCTTTGGTGCTATGTTTTATGTCCAAGCTACTTAGGTTCTTTTGGCATTAATTTTACTCCTTAAAATATTCTGACCAACATTTTATAGGTGCATTCTTTCAGGAGTTTTGAATATTGTTTTGGTTTGGCTTTTGGAAATAATGTCTCTAGCCCAGGCTGACCATGTACTCGAGTTAATCTCCCTGCTATAGCCTCCTGATCACTGAGATGAGGAGTGTGAGCCAGCATGCCTCCATTCTTTTCCATTGAACTCCTCAGAAATTCTTCTAGTGGTTTAAAACTACCCATCTATGAACTTCCGTTGTTTTTATTAATGTTTAGTATATTTATTTATTTGAGGCGGGGGTCTCTGTGTAGACCTAGCCGTCCTAGAACTCTTTGTAGACCGGGCAGCCTTGAACTCAGAGATCCACCTGCCTCTGCCTCCCAAGAGCTGGGATTAAAAGTGTACACCACCATGCCTAACTTCATTTTGTTTGGTTGTTTGGTTGGTTTTGGTTTTTTGAGGCAGGGTTTCTCTGTAGCTTTGGAGCCTGTCCTGGACTAGTTCTGTAGACCAGGCTGGCCTTGACCTCACAGAGATCCACCTGCCTCTGCCTCCCCAGTGCTGGGATTACAGGCGTGCGCCACTACCGCCCAGCTTCATTTTGTTTTTATTTTGTGTATTCTTGAACATGTGCCATGACACATGTAGAGGTCAAAGGATGACTTGTGGAAATTGGTCCTCTCCTTCCACCATGTGGTTTCCAGGGATCAAAAGTCAGGCTTAGGGGCAGACATGTTAATCTTAGCACTTGGAAGGTAGAGGCAGGAGAACCAGGAGTTCAGTCCAGCCTGGGTTATATGAAACCCTGTCTCAAACACAAACAAATTAAAAACAAGGAAAGGGTTCTGAGGGTATAGAAACACTATTAAGCCTGACAACCTGAGTTTTATCTCTGGAGCTCATAAGAAGAAAATTAACTCTCAAAAGTTGATTTCTGGCCGTTATTCATGTACCATGATGCAGACACACACACACACACACACACACACACACACACGCACACACACACACACAATTTTAGAAAACAGAATTGACTGGAGATAGGAGATAGGTGACTCTTGGTCTCTAGTTTCCTTTGACGTCTGTCCATCTTCAAGTAGGAACTTGGATGAAGTGTTTCGCTCCTGCCTTTATCCAGAGCCTAGTGCCCCCTCTTCCTCTGGTGCTGAGGCTTGAGCCTGGGGCCTTTACTACTGAGCTGTACCTCTAGCCCAGTTCTTGTTTTTAGAAACCAAGAAGATAGTATCAGAAGAAAGGCAGCAGTGGCTGGCAATACAGCTTAGTTAGAGCACGTGCCTGCCATGGATGAAGCCCTGCCTTCAGTCCTCCAGTACTGGGAGGCCAGAAGGAAACTGAGCTGGATGTGTTGGTATACACCTGTAATCTAAACATTTGGATGGTAGAGGCCTGGAGGTTCAGGGTCATCTTTGGTTACATAGTGAGTTTGAGATCATGTAAAACCAAAAAGCCACTCTGCTCTCAAAGGCAGCAAAACCATCTCATCCAAACCTTTCTTCTCAGATTCTGGAAGGAAAGGGTATGATTGAGGCCACCATGAGATTAGCTGTGAGGGCAGGTTACCCACAGGAGTGAATGTTGGAAATAAACAGAACCAACTTTCAAAGTGTTACTGGCTCAGTAGAAACAATGGTTTGATCAGGAGTAAGGGCCACCAGACCGTAATTCCTTCATCATTGGGTTGGGCTCCTTGATGCTGTGAGGTGGGGAAGAACAACCTTCCATAGTGAGGAGAAGCCTGGCTTTTTAAAAAGCTGATTTGTGTTCTCCTTCCAGGCCTTCTGGTTGCCCACCATTGATGACTGATCCTGACACTGCTCGGCTATTTGTACAGTGAGGGCGTCCAACAGGAACAAGTCAGACAGAGGTGACTGAGATGACAGTGGGATTGACTGGATCATTTGACTGGACTGGAGAACATCTTTCCACATGGCCTTCCCAGGGATGTGCTGTCCATCTGCCCTAAAGAAATACTTCGCTGAGCGCCTTCCAAAGGACTCATGGTGCTGCAGATTCAGTTGGCACTCAGCCTTTCCAGCTCTCAGCGCACCAAGCTCTTCAGAGGGTGACTGCTTATGATTAGGTTACAGTGGGGCCCTTGAGCCCCTTCAATGTTGAATATAGTTGCTGCTGAAGAGCCGGTGACGTCACCAATTGCCGCACATCCTTCTCCCACCCCAGAAATGCATGGGAAGCCACAGTTCTGGTTTTGAGATGCTAGGGCAGCTCAGCACCTCTTGCCCTCACCCTGCATGTCTTGTTACTGGGTCTCCCTGTGTAATTGTGGCATTATTCCACAACCATCATGTTTCTTAGGTGCCAAACATTTACAAAAATAAGTCTTCATATACCTTGGGGTCAAAGAAAGGGACAAAGAGAGAAGGACCTTGTTTGTCAGGAGGCTTTACAGTATTCCTGTGTTGGTGGGTGGGGCAGGTCGTGGGCTTGGATGTTGGCTAGCAAACAAGGCCCAAGCGTCTGAAAGGGAGGGAAGGGAGTAGCAGGTAAATTCTGAGAGCTGAAAGGTTTAACAGCCTGGTGCAATTCCCCCATCAAGACAGCCCCACAGTCTTCGTGGGGATCCTACCGAGCTTGGCTTGTACAAAAGCAAGGTAGTAGTTTATTTTTGTACCTGAGTCACATCACGTTTTCCTGTGGGCCAGTATTGTGGAATGAGTCTGAGTTGTTTACACTGATGCCTTCCTTCCCTGCCCACCGCGAATTGTGTACATAGTCAGCAGATGATACCCCTCTTCCCCAGCTCTTCCCCAAGAGCTGGCTCTAGGCCTGTGTTATATGTTATATTTAGCCTTTTTATATATGACCCTTGATCTGTTTGTATTTGAGCACAGTGTGTGTGTCCAATTAAATTCTCTCTCATCTAGTTTATCAAGAATTCAGCAGGAGAGGGAACCCTGCAGCTGAGAAAGACTCTTTGTGGGTAGTGTTAGCCACAAGTGTTAGTCTTCTCTGTTAACCTTCGGGAGACAACGTGAAGCAGAGCTTCTAGTGTTTGCTGTTTTCATGGCAGCTAAGTAAGAGCCTTGGGATGACAACTCCCTTGTGCTCTTCAAGCCACACTTCGGGGCCCTCTCTACAGTATTAGAATCTTTTTTTGCCTGATTATGCTCTGTCTACACCGGTGTATGTGTGACAGTCCCTTCTGCATGGCTTCTGTGCCTGGCTTGTGACATTGGGGACAGGGTGCTAGAACCAGTGTTTTAGTTTGTCAGGACTCCTCCTCCCCTGTCGTGTCAGCATCCTTGCCCTTTTCCTTGCTTTCTCCTGAGAGAAGGCTAGGACCAGACTGAGAAGGCTGCAGCTGACCTTTTCTTCCCAGTATGGCCACCTCAGAGGAGAACAAATGGTAGTCAGACATTTACATAAGCAAGCAGTACCCCTGCAGCTCCAGGAATCAAGACCCAACAGGCTGATTGGCCCATGAGTACCCAGCCGCGAGGGCGTCGGTCAGGCCACCACTGCTTCTGTTCAGAAGCAGGCATGGGCTTCGCATCGCTAGTGCTATTTTTTAAGCAATTACTGTTTGACTTGTTATTCCAACTGAAAAGGTGGCCACCTTCACTGAAGTCTCTTAAGTGTTGCTGAGCAGTCCTGCCTTCCCAGAGGGGACAGACTATAGGAACCAGGTGATTGGAGATGTTACTGCCTACCTTCAGGATCTAAGAGTCCACGTTTGGAGGAACTGTTGAGCAAAGGTCTGTAACTCTGGACTAGTAAGGCTGCATAACCTGAAAGTAGAGCGGCTTGCCTAGTCACAGAGAAACTAAGTTCATGAGTGTCCAAAGCTGAGGCACCATGCTCTTGGAAGACATACTGCCTCACAGCCTCTGCTGGGCCCTGTGGCAGCAGAGCTGAGTTCTGGATTGGGAGGGAAAGATTCAGCTGGAACTTAGGATTCTGTATGTGGTCACAGGGTAAGCAAGAGGGAGAAAGCAATGGCAGTCTGGGGGTGTGTCCCTGGGATGTCCTCACTGTCCTCTGAATGTCAGCCAGAGCCACTGCTCTGTGTGACAGCTGACACTGCACTGTTCAACCACCAGCCACTGGGGTTTTTTTAATGAATTAGTCCCCGTTGTAACTGACAACTACTGCTTATGAAGGAAAACTGGGGGATTTTTAAGAACCAATTTGCCACCCAAATGGTACCACTGTTAATTTTGATGTTAAATGTTCCTCTAGATATCTCTGTGCATAGACTTTGGTGTGTTTACATAGTTGTTATCCTACTGTACATACAATTTTATGTCCCTTTTGTACTTAACATAAACTTTTTTTTTTTTTTTGCCATGTTACCAGTCTTAAACAGAATTTTATGGCTTACAGTCTCTTCCATTGAGTCTCGGTGACATTATTTGCCTGCTTCACATCAGAAGAGATGTGTTGTTCCAGTGTTCCAATTCTGGCTCAGGTGGAGCTGCCTGCAATGTTGTGTGAACTGTTGAGCCTCTTTGAGGCCTGTGGGCAACAGGAACCCCCTGGGCCCATCCCTTAACCCCAGACTCCAATTAAATTACCACGGGGCCAGTAATGAGTGACTGGAGGTGAGTCTGACTCAAACCCATTCTTCAGAGACCTCCTCACTGCCTTTCGCTGTTTACCTCAAACTTTGACCAGGTTGGCATCCTAGGGCCCTGGTTGGAAGGTGAGCATTGCATCTAGCAGGATCAGCTGTCTGCCCGGTGAGCCACCGGCTTGGCTAATGCATTGGGAATTATTGCCACTCCGGGGCCTGCTTTCTGCTTCCCTGACTGAATCAGAATAGGTAAAAAACCTTGACCGGCCACTTCAGAAGAAAATGGCTTGGTCTAGTTGACCAGGCTTTCCTGCTTGGTCTACTCTTAAGAGATCCCTCAAAGCCTGGTGGGAGTATCCAGCAAGATGGATCAGCAACTGAAAGTTCTTGCCACACAAGCATGACAACCTGAGTTCAGTCCCCAGAACCCATGGTGGAAGGAGAAAACCCACTTCCTGAAAGTTGTCCTTAGATTTCCATACATGATAGAAAAGTCACAAATGTAATCAAAGCCTGCTGCAGCTGCTACTCCAACATGCTTGCAATAGAGACCTGGTGTGCCCACTCCCTCGGTGTGTGAACAAGAGGAACAGGCAGTAAGGTGTGGGGGCGAGCTGGCTCAGCAGTTGGTGTGGGCAAGAGGCAGGCACAGGATGTTGCCTGCACTTTGCTGAGAGGGTGTGGAGGGATGTGCTGAAGAAAGAGGAAGCCAAATTCAGCAGCTTTAGACAGTGACACTAGCATCTGCGGCTACCTGTCTGGGGCTCAGAAGAGAGCTGGTGGTCTGCCTATGTGTTACACAGGAAATGGGAAACACTGATGTGTTCGGTCCTGTCTTCAGATGAGGAAATGGGGTCTGAGCATCCCAGGTGCGTTAGCTACACAAGCTTTCTAGCTGCAATCCAGAGCTGTGTGTTGCCCGAAGCCCCCTTGATTCTAGTCAGGTAAAGCTCATGTAATGAATACTGTATTTCAACAGATACTTCTGAACCTCAGTAAGTTCCAGGATGGTGACAGAGGTTTGGGGTTGCTTTTTCTTTCTTTTTTTTTTAAGATTTATTTATTTATTATGAATACATTATTCTGTCTGTACATATCCCCACAGGCCAGAAGAGGGCACCAGATCTCATTACAGGTGGTTGTGAGCCACCATGTGGTTGCTGGGAATTGAACTCAGGACCTTTGGAAGAGCAAGCAGTGCTCTTAACCTCTGAGCCATCTCTCCAGCCCTTGGGGTTGCTTTTTCAAGACAGGGTTTCTCTGTGTAGCCCTGGCTATCCTAGAACTTGCTCTGTAGACCAGACTGGCCTTGAACTCACAAAGATGCGCTTGCCTCTGCCTCCTGAGCACTGGGATTAAAGGCGTGTGCCACGGCTACCACCACCACTACCGCCAGGCCTAGGCTGGCAAGTCTTAAGGGGAAGATGAAAAGTGAAATTTCATAAAGCCCTTACTAACTCAAAATGTAAAGCACCAGGTCACTCAGAAGTAAGTGAGGAGTCTGGCAGTGGGCCACACCTGTAATCTCAGTATTTAGACTGAGGCTGACTGAGGCCATGGAAGTTTCAGACCAGCCTGGCCTACACAGCAAGAAACCTACCACTCTAGATGGAGGCAGAAGCCAAAGGATCACAAAGTTGAGGCCACAATACAGTTTCAGAACTGACAAGGCGACATAGTGAAACTCTTGCAAAACAATTTTAAGAATTGGAAAGGCAGCCCTTATGGTACCTACAGTCCAGAGTCTGCAGGTATTAAATGTCTTTTCATTCCCTGGCAACAATGTGGGGGCTGAGCATGGGAAACAGTCCTGATTATATGCAAGCTTCCATAGTGAAACTGAAAGGAATCTACTGAAAGGCCACAAGAAGCGGCAAAATTTGCCGACCAAGCTGTGAGCAACTCACGATTCACAAGGGCTCTTTTATATGCAAACATTTAATATCAGGCTGGCTGAGTCCCTCCAGGGAAGCTCTACATGGCCGGTGCTGGAGGTAGAGGTGCGTGAATCCCTGGAGGCTGGGCAGGGTAGAGTAGGCAGGAGGGCAGCAGAGGGGGTGGGGACGATGCTAGGCTAAAAGTGGAGGGTTAGAAACAAGGAGAACTGGCTAGCTGAGAAGCAGATGCCCCTGGAGTAAGCTCTGGGAAACAACAGACACTCCTGGCATAGGTATAGGGCAGGCCTGGGGACGGGGGAAAAGCAGTCACTGGCAGCCAGGATCCAGGCAGTGACAATTGGCCTAGCCAACTCGGGAAACTTCTCACCCTGTTTTGCTCTCGCAACTTTATTTGGGATCTGTGCCCTCCATGGGCAGAGAGCAGGGCAGGATCTGTCTTCAAGATGGCTGGTCCAGCCAGGCATAGTGGTGCACGCCAGTGCTCAGGAGGCAGAGACAGGTGATCTCTGAGTTCAAGGCCAGCCTGGTCTACATAGCAAGTTCCAGGACAGCCAGAACTACATACTAGAGACCCTATCTTAAAGAGGAAAAAAGAAAAAAAAAAAAGATAGCTGATCCAGCAGATGTGAAACTGCCCAGAGGTTTCAAGAAGGCACCTTGTGTGGGCAGATGGTTAAATACCTGACACTCATGGGTCAGAACCAAATGACCTAGCTGCCTGTTCCCCAAGGCATCTTAGTACCCTAAATCCTTTAGGCTGCTGAGGAGCCAACAGATACCATACTTTGTAAAGTATCTCTGCCAGAAGGATGTTACCATTGCAGAAGGTGGGACCTGGTAGGCGAGGCTCTCCACCCAGTGCTCTCTTTGAAACAAATAGTGAAGGCAGAAAGCAAGGGCACTGAGCTGTGGCTGGGGACCGACCAGACAGGGCCCGCTCTTGGCCACAGTGGACGTCTGCTCAGACTGCACTGGTCCTGAAGAGGTCACAGAGGGCAAGTATCTGGGTCCTCAGTGGCCACAACTCCCCTGGCCCTGCTTGTGCAAAGGAATCACAAACACAGAGACGTCGTCGTAGGACACCTGCCCTTCTCCAGCAGCACCATCCTCCCCCTGTGTGCTGTGTATCAGCATTTTGGCCAACTCTGAGAACCTGTAAAGACATTACTGAAGATGTACTCTGGAGATAAAGCAGGCCACAGCCAGCCCCGCCCCCTCCAGAACTTGCTTCACAGGACAAGACACCTAGGAGACCCCTTAAATGTGGTGCAACTAAGGGCCGTAAACTAGATTACCAGACCAGACCTAGATTTCTTTTTTTTTTTTTAAATCGTATCCCCTCCCCCTTGGGACAACCTGCCCTGACTTCGCAGCTGTAGCTACCTGGACCAAAACGTCCAGTCAGGTCCTCCTCCGCTACAGTACCTGTGTGGGTCCTCTCGGTTCCCAGTGAGGAAGCTCCGCACAAGCTGTGCCACCTGCTCATTAGACAGGACATCCCAGAGCCCATCAGTTGCCATGACAACCACATCCTCCTCTTGCAGTGCCAGCTGGTCCACATCCAGCACAGTCACCTGCAAGGTAAGCCTGAGGATCCTTCAATGCTCCCTTCATAGCTCCTACAAGGCTCATTTTCTGCCCTTCCTGGGCATTGGAACCTGGGGTGGGCTACATTGTTCTATCACCTGTGGGGTGGAGAGCAGGAAGGGCTTGAGCTGGATGTTGGTGTCCAGGACTCTGAGTTGATGGTCTCCCAGGCCTCGGGAGACAGCCAGTGTTCCTAGTAACCGAGCCTGGAGGAAAGGGAGGGATGCGATGATAGTGATAAGCTTAGCACATGCCCAGGGTCCGGCTCTCCTGAGCACAAAGCGGGAAGTGAACGGGGGCTTCTAAGGGGGAAACATCTGAGGGAACGGAGGATACCAGCCACAGCCACCAGTAAGGGACAAAGGAGCTCCCACCTTCAGGGAGCAACTAAAGAGGGAATCTTGGGCAGGGGGCACTGACCTGCCTTCCCTGTCCGTGAATCAGTGGATACTTGAGGTCAGACTTTTCCACCTGTTTGTAGCTCCTGCAGGAGCAGACCTAGAGTCAGCCAAGGCCCACACCCTGCAGCAGCTTCGCCCATCCTCAAACCCGGCTACCACGCCTTCACATGCCCACCTTGCCCAAGTATGGCTGCCTCAGGCCATACAGATGAGCCCGGACCTTTTCCCACCCTGTCCCCCATCCCCGCAGCTCACCAGCCATTCATGTGATGGTCCCTGAACAAAACCTTCTGCCCTACATCATCCCCCTTCAGCCGCCGAGGGAACTCCAGTCGGGTGAACTCACCAGCCAGAAGCTCAGGGTAGATAAAGGCCTAGGGTGTGGAGGTCGATTTCAGATCGGGCTTCCTTCCCAGGGCCCTATGTGGCCCTCGACACAGGGAGTTGGGGGTCCCTCTGCCAGGAGCACCTACCAGCTGCTGGATCCGCTGCCGCTCTGTTTCTGGGGTGAACTCAGAACTCAGCACCCGTATCTCATCTCTCCGCACCAAGATGGCTCTGAACAGGTTGGAGGAAGGAGAAGAGGTCTATGAAACAACTTCCATACTCACCCATGGCCACCCTCCTAGCACCCTTCTCCAGCCACCAGGGGCCACTTCTGGCCATGCTGATCCCTTGTTCAAGTCCCTCCATGACTGCCTGAGACCCACAGAGTAAAGGTGCAGCCCGTTAGAATGGCCCCTGTAGCCCCTGCCTGCCTTGGCTTCAATGTCCACTCTTACACTTGGCTTATGCCAAGTACAAATACAACGTGGCCAGCCAGTCGCCCTCATTTCTAACCCTTCTTCCACTGTCTCGACCCCCTTTGGTACCCTCCTGCCCACTACCCTGCCCACCGTCCAAGGGTCCACTCACCTGCTATCGCCAG